GAATGAAGTTTAATCTGTAATGTATTTTCCATTTTGTTCGATGACCTTTTACCATCTCTCTGACAACTTGAAAATTCCACGCTCGTAGAAAGTCTGATCCTTTTCGGCCAAAAACTGAGTTAAGTGAGATTTTACAGCGTCATCATCGTTAAAAGTTTCACCACGATGGGAGTTGTCCAGGGATCGAAATAAGTGGTAATCCGATGGCGCGAGATCAGGGCTATATGGTGGGTGTAACATCAATTCCCAACCAATATCCATCAATTTTTGCCGAGTGGACAAAGACTTGTGCGGCCTAGCATTGTCCTGCTGGAAAATGACACCTTTACGATTGACCAATTCTGGTCGCTTTTCCTTGACCGCTGCATTCAATTTGTCCAGTTGCTAACATTCACGGCCAATAAAAAATAACATAATAATAATAATAATAATTTTATAATATAACATTTACGGATATCATAAAAATGGGAGTGAGAGACATCTATAACTGAAATCGGCAATTACTTAATTGCCAACCCAATACATTATACAATTTGATCTACAGTTTTATATTGGTTTTAGCATTTTGTATGCGTCAAAATTGTAATATAAAGTAAAAATCGTTACTTTCGAAACCAATCTACCCTGCCTACCAAAAGGTATTGGTTGCCAATCGATATCATCGCTCCATTTAGTCAGGTTCGTTGGTGGCCAGAGTCCAGCGTTTACCAACTGCGCCGACAGCATCGACAATGGATATTCTGCAGTTCTCACTTTCATTGTTTCACTTCTGTACTGCATTCCCAAAAATTTGTCGTAAACGTTGCGTATATGTGTTCCTAGATTGTACATGTTGAGTTTGCCAACCTGTTCAGAAACGCGTTTGTTAGTCGTGTAATAAATTTTGTACCTTTCTGATTTTTCAACTGAATTCGACACAAACAGTATAATAATGAATAATAGAATAATAATATTAATATTATTATTTTATTTTTATTTTTCTAAATTTTATAATATTGATATTATATAATATATAATATATATATAATTATTATTATTATATAATTCTATTAAATAATATTCACGAGCTAATAGAAGGCCATCCAGCAGAATGTCGACACATTTAACTGAATCGTTATAATTTAAAGCCAATTTTCAATTATCAGTTTGAAAAAGTTGAGAACTTTTCCAGCAGTCCAATTGTATTAATATACAGGACTATGAGGATTTTATGTATCTATTTCTCGTGTGCTTATAATATAATCGGACGGTTAACTAGAATTTCGATAGTTATTTAAAAAAAAAAAGAAAACAAATTTGACCTGTTATAATAATCACAGTCCAAGTAAGTCTAAAAGACATATTGAAAAGTACATATTGTAGATTACTCGATCCGAATTGTTTGATTACTCTTTTCCAATTGCACGGATTAACTTTGAGTATCTCAAACTTCAAACATCCGTGTTTGGTTTACCAACGGATTTCGGTAGAATTATTAAGTTCATCAGGCAAATGATAACATCTTTTTAATGTAGGTGGGAAAACGATATACGGAAGTAAAATGAAACGATTTATTGAAAATCCTTGCAGACTCACGTTGGGCATCTGGAGTGTAGCAAAATTGAAGTAGTCATAAGTAAGTGCAGTTGGAAAACTTGAGTCGTTGCTGTATACCAGAGGAGAAATTGGAGCGTACGTTTTATGGGCAAATATCTGTAAAAAATTGTTGGAAGCATTCTTTTTTGATTTCGTAAGATGACCATTTGTTTTTCACAAGCTTCGTTAATCATCCCGGAAAATTTCAAGTTGTTTTGTGTGTGTACGCGGTATTTGATGTTTGCTTACGATTTGTAATAACTGCAACTCAGGTTTGGCCTTTATCGCAGTTATTAAAATACATAACCAGCATAGCATGCCTGCTTTCATATTCAGTTACGTGGATTTACGCTTCCTTCGATGGTGTATGAAATTCCTGAAAACAAATTAATGTCGTTTAAAATTGCGTTAATTAAGTGACATTAAGTACATTTCTATCATTTGCGATAGTCATTT